AAAAATCTAATTAATGAAAACAATTAATACTCACTGTTTTTACCAAAATAAAAAGATATGACGACATTAGAACAATCGGATCTCTGAGCAATTATCCTGATGCAATATTGAACAATTTGTATTTTTTCTTTTTTTAAAGTTATTCAAAATCCATTCTGAAGCGCCATTCTCTATAAATAAAATTTTACATTAAAGAATTTACAACGAAATTATTTTAAAGATTCGTATAAACTAACCTCCTTATTCATAAAAACGTCAAACATGTCATAAACCTATTTTAGATATTCAACTGTTTTGTCTCTTTCTTTAATGCTAAATTCCCAATAAGAAAGAAAGTGATAAAACAGTGTGAAATAGTTAAAATAGATCTGTAGAAGAAATTAGTTTTTATAAATAAGAGGGTAAACTTATAACAGTATTGAAACAAAACTGTATTTAATTTTCGGTGGTCTGTGATGGTGGTGGTAACAGAACAGTTTCTATGAACTGTCAATAAAAATGTTTATTGAAATGCTTTGAGAATGGTGCTTTAGAATAGGCTATTTTCTATATGTAGCCATACCTTCAGTGAACTTAAACTAGATACAATAAATAAATACTGCCAACTTAATGACTTACTAAGTAATATTTGGAAAGGTGTAAACATTACCTTGTACTGACAACGAAATATTGTTTATAACACGATATTACACACATAGAACCGTATTTACACTGTTTACTTACATTTTATGGATACTATTTATTATGCACAAGTCATATCCATGATATTGTTTTCTTTAAAATCTCAGAATCCCATTAATATATTGCATTGAAACAGTTTTCTTTTCTTGATGATTTGTGACGTACATAAATTTAATTACGATTCATAAATGGAGTTACAACTGTTAAAGACAAACTGATATGAATTTTCAAAGTTAATTTCAATTAGAAAATCATATACGGGTACGGAAAAATACTATAAATCTAAGAACTCAAAACACTAACACATAGACACTACATCTATTTATATATTTCTACATAAGGCATTCATTGTATTTAAAAAAAAAACAAACAACTTTTTTGTGCGACCAGTTTCTATCATTTGTTAAAACTTGAAACATCCCTATATACATAATATCTTTTTATATAACTTACATTTTTTTTCTAATATATAGAAATAAATAGAAATTATTAATATATCTTCAAAATCCATAATAAGCAACAGTAACATGTTATAACGTTAAATAAAGCTAACTGTTAAGTGAAAATTAATAACTCACTTTTGCCGATAACTTACGTTTTTGGAATTAGTAGAATCTCGATTATCTGAACATCGATTATCCGAACATTCGATTATCCGGACTTCTTCTTCATGGCTCCAAATACCGAATCAGAAATGATATTATGTAACTCTTTATCTTTATAGCTCGTAATTTTTTTTATATAGTATTGTCTAAATGACGTATGTAAAACGCTTTACACAATAAAAACATATTGTTTGATTTGACTTTGAAATCGATTATCCGGATTTTCGATTATACGAAATACCCCTGATTTTATTTGATTCGGATAATCGAGATTCTACTATACGTCTATAGTGTTTATATTTTTTTTCAAAACGGTAACAGATCACAATAAGCCTATTGAAATAGAATGTACACGATTTATATTGGGATATATTTTACTCAGACACTGATTAATATACCTACTTAGTATAAAAACGAGCAGTTTTTAGTTCTAGAAAGCACACTCGGGTGGCATTTGGTTTGCGGTATAAATAAAGTTCATGGATATAAACGTACATGGAATATGCACCCGTTATGACGTAATAACAGTAATAATTAGATATATCCATAGTTTTAATAAGACTAATAAAATTTTCACCATAGTAATATGTCACCCGTGCTTATTAAACGTTAAAGCGTATTATAAATAAGGACTTTGAGTCCGTAACTTAAGGGTGTATTAACTGTGACATATTACTTTCTTAATAAATCAATGCGTATAGCTCATTTATAATTTGTGATGACATTTATATACTTAACATTAATTATTTAGATGTATATAATACACTGAATTTTAATATATTCTCATAATAAAATACGATATTTTAATAATTAATTTAGACCTTATTAACCTAAAGCACAATCTAATTTATTGCACTTCAAATATATTGTCTTCAAATATTCGTGTAGGCAAAATAATCGGTTTCTGTTTTGTCTTTAATAGCAAAATTAGTTTATTATTAGACTGTGTTATATTTAAACATTGTTGTAACCTTATGAAAATACCCATTGTCGAATTGCAGTTAAATTGCAACTCGACAACACAGCCTTTAACAAATACCTACATTGTTTGTTGCACAACGCATATTTAGTTGGGACATGCATACAGCCACATTTAGTCACTTGACCGGTCGAGGAATCCATAATGAAACTTGGAAAAGGATTGTGAAAGAAACAAAATATACAATTACGATAATTAATAAGGTCGAATTCATCAAGGCCAACGGTCAAGTGCGAGCCGCGGTCCGATTGTACCGTGACACGTGTTAACACGTATTATCGTTGCCGAATATTATTAACACGCAAGCAATGTAACATTCACACAAATACGTTAATCGTGTACAGGCGAATATCAGTGGAGTAATGTCGCGTCCAGCATACTGAATTCATACACATTGTCCATTCAGACGTGCTGGTGACGTCACAGCCGGTAGCCGGTGCTCCCCGCGGGCCCGTTTATTTCAGCACGATCACGAGCACTATTGCTAATATAACCAGCGTAACAGACAGGCATATTATGATGAAGATTTTTTTCTGCAATGACAAAGGAAAAACAAAAACGAAATAAAATCGCTGTATGGTATATTCGTGGGTTATCTGGCGAGAAATATATACTTTGGAGATGTGCAACATATTTACAATATCACACGTATTTATTTGACTTTCATATAATGGAAGCTGAATAAATAAATGTAATATTGTAATATGTATCAAAATTGTTTCTTATATTTCTAGCCAAGCGCGCCTTGTAACTGAAAGTGTATATGGACTTTTAATGAATATGTTCGGCGGTCACCTTTAGTAAAATATGCTCATGCATTTTTCAATTTAATATTCTTATTACTATTAATAAATATAACAATAGTGAACATATATAAACGATTGTATACACACGTGCCAAATAAATGTACAACCATCACCACATCGTAAGCTGAACTGTAAGCCAATAAATCCACCACATGTGTGCAATTATTCGCTACACTGATATTAGGTATATAGATAATTTGAAGTTATTAAATAATAAATGTAATGTTTGACAAGATCGAAGCGTTATCTAAATACCGTTTTGTCTAATTTTACGACATATTGGTTTTATAGTCTTTTAATTATCATAACAATGTTTTTTTTTTTTTTATATATTTTATAACAGATATCACAAGCACGGGAATGTTTACTATATTTTATTTGTTGTATCTTGTCAACTTGAAATCTACTTAGTAAAAACAAAATAACAAGATTTTTTTTTATTAGGTTAAAGAAAAACATTGTTGAATTTGACTATATTCATGTCGACTGTATTTGGTTTTGTGACTTGTGAATGTATATCAGTAGATTTGTAACTATTACCTGTAGACACATTCCTTGCTCTTATTGTGCTGTTTCAAAAATTCCTATTAGTTGGATATAGAGTCATAATCGAAGTCGGTTTTAACGGAAGAATAATATTTTAAATTATTACAAATTATGTTGTTATACATATTTTGTGAAATAGTACAGCTTCGTGCAACATTTATTGTAATTGTTGTAATCAAATATCATGCTTTTTTTAAAAAGCATAGAAAAGAAATTACGAAGAGAATCAACATGCGTACCATTTAAGATTTTATGATTCAAATGTATTAATACTGAAATTGTTAAAGGCTCTAGTATGAAGTCATATATCTTGAAGCAAATGTCCGCTGATGACTTTTTAATCAATATGAAGAACACACAGTTTCAAATACATATTTATTTTTCTTTTACCGATTAAAAAGTCAGATTATTTATTGTTAGCATTATGTCCATTGCTAGTTATGTCTTGTTGAAGATTTCCTTTGCTTTGTTAGATAGTCAACCCCGAGATAGTGTGCGATCGGTGTTTTACCTTCCGCGCCTTAATAGCCCACTTGTAGGCTTGTTTGAGCTCGCCGCGGCCGGTCTCCACGTAGTCTGTGGTCTGCGACACGTGGTGCTCGATGCGATCTATCAGTTCACCCTGCTCGCGCTAAGGTCAGTGGCGCTGGGAGGGAGCGGGACAGACGTCCAGGCATACTGGGCAGCCGATTGGTTCATACCGTTTTATACATATCCCCCAGGTTATATGTTACAGGAACCCACCAAACGGAGCTGGTCCGGAATGTTAATAGACAAATAGTTTTTAGTCGAAAACCATAAGTAGAAAAAATATTAAAAATTCGACACAGAAGGATAAATGTTATAAATTAAGTATACACAACATTCAGGGTTACCCTAATTTATTATGATTTATTTAATTATAAAGTTTGTTACATTTAATGAACACTTTTTATAACATGTATATAATTAATAAAACCAATTTTAGAAGTAAACGATCATAAAGCATTAGTTACAGTTGTTACATAACAAATATCACGATATGCAATAGGCAAATTACGCACACACCAAAAGTTATATGTGTTACACACAATATTGAAAGTTAGGTTGGGGGAGTTATAAGCCCATTACCAAGTGTTAGTTGGAGCGGCATACAGTTAAAACACAACAATTAAAGCCAATGTGTTATGCAGAAAAAAAAAACATAAAAATAACAAAACATGGCGTGAACCAATCACCAATTCAACATAATAAGAAAGGACAGTAATAAGTCAAATTATACCCAACATAAATAAGGAAAGGAAATTGGAAGTGGATACATTGGACACGGACAAGGGACGAACGAAACAAAAAAAAAAGAACAATTAGCAACGAATGATTCTGCACTGGTATATTGTAACTCACCCGTCGAGCTTTGCTCTGATATTTTAGGGCCTTCTTTGTATCTTGTGTGGCAGTTTGTACATAGTCCACAGCATGTTCTACATGATATTCAATGCGGTCGATCATCTCACCCTGTATCCATAGGAACTCGTTTATTTTATAGACTAATTCATATTATTAATTGCTACTTCTAAATTCTTGCCATATGTAGTATCGATTGAAATCGATATGAGTACCATAATAAAGGTATCATGTGTAAAGTGTTGTGAATTTGATGAGAGGCGTATACGTGATATAAGTGTGTGACCTGGCTTTCGACGAGCATCGCCATGTCCATGAACATGTCGTGGAGCTCGCGAATGGATGTCTCCAATTTGATGATGTCGGCGTGTCGCGCTTCGATATCGGCCAGTGTCTGCTTCGCTTGCTGCGTCTCCATTATTATCTGAAATCATCACGCCAAAACGATTTTCTTTTATTTTATCCAATTATAAGGAGTGAGTAGCGATCGCAACGTACTCATGCAATGTAACAAATTTTATACGTATTTCATGAGAATATTCCAGTGCTCCAGTGTTAATTTTAACATATTCGCTGGTGTAATGCTTGTTTATAAGCGCGCGAAACGAACGCAACCGAGCGAAAGCTACTCCCCTACTCTACTTTCCAAATTTTTATTTAGTGTAAATAAATTAAAATTATTTTAAGAGTATGCATTCGTTACAAACAAATGACAACGGAATACTTTACGTTGTCGTCTGTTTGCAATTTGTTTAGAACTGCCACTTATAGACATGAACAACATCATAGTAAAATGTGCGGAAATGCATTTAAAGTGAATAAAAAAGGGACCGTCGTACGTCTGCCTTTACCATTATGTGATTGGTGTTATTTGTTTTATAATGCGAGATACTCAGTATGTTAATAATATTAATATTGTACAATCCAATAATATTTCATTATGTATAACACAGAATAGGAAACAAGCTAACGGCCCTTCTAACAAAAAAGTAGTAAACGACATAAATCACAAAAAACTCTATGATCATAGATTAAATTTTCTATGTAACAACAAAGGTTGCTGTTATGAGGTATAGCACCTACGGAGTAAAATGTTACCATATCTATTAATTTTATTGTTATATTTCATATTTCAGACCAAAATATAGGAATGCGAATACACCTGCTTGACGACAGACACGTGGGAGGGGCAGTTAAATATTGTAATTACACGATCTTGCAATGAAACTAAATTAACGCGTACGTATGATAAGCTCTACTCTAATCGTAGTAAAGTCTAACGTAAACAAAGCAGTTAGTTACATATGTGTCACGCTATGAGCGAATATATTGTGTTGGCTGTGCATGCCGGTGCGTCACCGCACGATTGTGTGTAATGCGCTGTGACATCAGTTAGCCCATTAGCTGTTGCCATAGCGCATTCATTAATTATGTGTAAGATAGTGAACACAAACTGTATTAATGTATCTATGTATACTTTATTAACTGTAAAAGGTCAAGCGGCTCCAGTCAAGTACTTATACGTTGCTATTTGTAAGACAGAGACGGTACTGCTCCGTCTTTATCATACGAGCAACAAAACTAGCGTCCTTGATTTATTACCAACGACCCTCTACGGAAGTACGGAGCCTAGAAGTAATACTAGAGTTTGAAAAGTAGAATGAACTTAAAAGAAATAATATACATAATACAATGAACATATGTAAGTAAAAGATTTCATATGGCAGAATTCGTAATCGTAGAAATTTTACATATATTTCGTAATATTTTTATATGAAGATTACGTAGAAACGTATTCAACTCACCCCCTGGGTGAATACTGCAGAATTTCCCTGCTCTAACATTTCCTCGAGTTCATCGTCCGTGGTCGCCCTGCCAGTGATCTCCAGCTGCCGTTGTATCCTGTACTTGCACCGATCCCTGTAGTCGGTCTGCGTCCGGTTGTACTCCGTCATCACTTCCACGAACTTGCGAGACAGCGTCGAGTGTTGTGTCTTTCTTATCCTGAGATCAGCTGATGATTTGTTCGAATGCTCCTCTTGTTCGATGTTCTGTTCTATGTCTGTGGAATAAGTTAGATTTTTATTTAGTACAAATATTGGATTAATTTGATTAAACACAATCTCCTCTGATCTGGTTGATGGTTTTCCAGTTAAAAACTTAACAATCACGATGATTTATCAAGTTCAATAAATACAAGGAAATTGTTGAATTTAATACGATAAACCATGATTTCATGGAATCGTTTTCATTTCAATGAACCAAAGAAAAATTAAATATGTGGGTTTTGTTCCCTTAGATCTTTCCACATTGATATTAAAGATATGTGGGCAGGAGGGTTATGCAATTTTGATTTATTAATTTTACAGACTGAATTTAACTGAAGGTAAAACGCTAATCTTTAAATCTTAAAAAGCAGAATTGTCTTGACACAATTTTTTATTTACTATATGATTAGTATTTACTATAAAAATAATTTTGTTTTGGTTTTTTTATTTAACTTTCTTTATGTTTATGTTTATTTTTATGTTTAAATTTTTCACTATAGTTGCAACCTAATAGCTTTGTTGCAGTCGCATTTATTATTGGATCATGCTGTGTGCACAGAAACCTGATACCGTTATGTACTTGCATATTATAATTTAAGTTTTTATTTGTAAACTTCTGTTATGTGCGCCTAATAAATAAAATAAAAAAAAAAAAAAATATGATCTACAGGGAGAAAATACCTTAAATCCGCACTACTTCCCATTAGGATGTATGTATATTTATACAGCAAAGAAGAAGTAAATAAATGCATAAATGTATACTTACGTTTTAATTTTCCTCTGACTTTGTTGGCATTTTTCTTAACATCTGCCATGAGGTCTTCTAGTTCGTGCTTTGTTTCTGCAAATACAAATAAATATTTCAACATTAGTAAACTATCAAATTCTATAAATAGATAAACGTTTAATAAATGAGATCAACCCTCTTCAATTATGAATACAATGTAGTCCTGCATAATAAATGGTCGCATTGTCGACGTATAAACGCGAGCTAGTTCTAATTGTCCATCCGTAATCCAATTACGACGATCAATATTAAAAATAGTCAGTGAAACTGCTAGTATTTTTAATGCTTTTATATGTTATTTCTTACAAATTGATAGAAAAATCCTCTATGACCATAATTTTATAATTGTGCGCATTAAAAATTTATTTATCTAGGTTTACTAAACTGAATAATATAAACAATATACACCTTCAACAATTTTTTATTATTATTACTGAATTATTAGAAAGTCAGTGGATAATTATATGTTGCTAATATAAAACTCCGTACGCATAGCAGCAGCAGCAATTTACTTTAGTACCACAATATAGGAATATTCAATTTAAATCGATACATCAAAATCGGTTAAGTTTGAGCTTTTCGTAGTACGCGGACCCTTATATGAGTAGAAGGTGACTGAGGCATATTGATAGAATTTAAATTATTAATAACATAATTCACTAATCACGAGAATGAGTTAATTAGCATTCCAAAAAATTATTACCAAATGTTAATGTTCAAGCATAGATAGTTATATCATAATTTTAGAGACAGTATTATAAACTTTTTAATGCAAACGAGATTAGTAGCTTCATTTGATAATACGAGTACAGATCGTATAGTCAACGCCAATAGTCTATTAACATACCCAAATTTCAAAAAATTTTGTATGTCATGTTGCTACGTATTTTAAACCATGTTTATTTAATTCTGGCATTAACATTACTTTTAATATAATAACTACCGGATTTCCTTTTATTTTAGTCGAGAAAGTTTGACTAGTTTTGGGACCATCCGGGATCCTTAGTAATGAGCGGTTGTAACGCGAGCCTGACATTGTCGAATGACTTTGGTATTCGACGGCAGAATTAGAGGAATATTTATAAAATTTGGGATGTGTTATCTACTTTAGGTGTTGCCGTATTTAATTAATTTAAAACAGAACAAAGAATCCGTTCTACTCTCATCTTGTTTTACTTTGGCCAAGCATTTATGCCGGCTCAAAACAGATCTGCAGTTTTTCTTTTCTACTATGTCTTGGATGATATACAAGATTTATTGCCATCTATTTCTATATTTAAACATCAGTAGCCCACGTAATTTTCACATTCATTCTATTTTCATATTTTCTTTTAAACAATCCCAATCAAGTAATCTGTGTAGCGAAAAGCAATCTGAGACAAGTTGTTTCGATAACGAAGTTAAACCATTACGAGTCAACGAGTTCGCGGTTCTACTGTCTCCCTATAAAGACAAACTTGAACTTGCAGTAACAAAAGTAATCGCCCCTAAAACGATGTAAGATTTCCTGGAAAGTACTTTGTTGAAGGATACAATTATTACTTCACTTTGTTGGTATTGAATGGATACACATTGTACATTATTGAAAGTACTTTAATAAGAATGTAATCGAGTGACCCTTTTAAATGAACAGCTGGTTTCTTTGAATTAAGTAAATAACATCAAAGGCTTAGGACTATTTCACGTCTATGACGGGGGGTTAAGTGAGGGTGAGAGTTAAGAAATCTCCGCGTGTGTGTAATTTTGATCTCCTCTGAATCTAGTACAAATAGCATATCGAATAAATAATATAGTAACTCTATAAATCAATATAATTCGTAAGTGTTTATTACTTTTTACTTATGTACAACATTTTGTTATTGCATCACTGTCGCAAATGAAAATTGCTTTTTATAATATGCTAAACATAGAAGTATAACTCTAGCTTACAATGTTGAAAATATAAATTTTAATGCTATAAATAGAAGTGGACTGATTATTAATAATGGCTAACCCAATTATAAAATATTATTATAGTTGAGGTTTGGGCAAAGAAGCACCTAGCTGCGTGTTGTATCACAGCCAATTTTCCGTAATATTGTGACACGGAAATTGCATTTCCTGTTGGAATACTCGAGCCTATCGGTCTGCCGTCGTCTGTAATTGATTACGTGCTGCAAACAGGGTTGCCATCTGTTTGCGATTTGTCCCGATTTATATCTTTTTAATTTGCTCCAAACAGATAAAACAGAATAAGAATTTTTAACCTATGAAATGAAATACAAATGAAGAGTGACCTGAAGTATCTTAAGTTTAATTATCGCTATATCATGTATTTTAAAACTAAAGCCTAAATGTTAGTAAAATGATTTATTATTCTATTTTCAACCAAAAACAAAAAATTCTTATTAATTTTTTACGAAACATTTTTTGTAATGTGGTCAACAAAGAATAAATAAATGTTTTTAAATAATAAATCAATAACAATATGCAACAGAAATAATAAAAACTTGACAATGTTTTTAATGCAACTTACAATACAAAACAAGGTGACCGAAATAATAATCTGATGAAGTGATAACCGTCGTCTAAAAACATGAGCAATACTATGGAATATACTGTTTTGCCCATGATATCCCCCATGCGTTGTCATTCCTGAGGACTCAGGTGTTATTCCTCTGTACCCTGTAATTTCAATATCTCACCCTTCAAACCGAAAGACAGCCATGCCAACACAACTGCTTCACGGCAGAAACACAAATGGGATAGAGGCGTAATTTAGAATTAAATTATCTTGCTATAACACAGATCCCGATAGGCTTTTAAATAAAAGATAACGCACGCTCTCACTCGCAATTTGAGGCGTGAGATTGCATTTAGGGATAATTGTGACTCTGACTAGGCACGTGAATAAATACTGGATTAGAGCAAATACTTTATACCTACATATTGCTTGCATACGAATAAAAACAATGGTAATACGTACAGACTACAATATTATTAAAATAAACAAAATTAGATTCTTCGAACAAATAAAGAAACTAATTTTCGAGAAATGTGATTGTTAAAACGTTTACGAAGATTAAACGTAACATAAAAGAATTTGTAATTGTAATATATAATAGTATTAGCAAGTTTTTGCGTAGGTTTTCAATATAAGAGTATATTTAAATAAATATAATAAAGCTTGATTATTAGTTGAATATGAATTGTAATTTTGAAGAATTTTAGTTTTGATAAAAAGTACAATAAGAAAAAAAAAGAAGAAGAACCGGATTCACAAAAATAATAAAACGAATTAAATAAGCAGGGTTACAAGATTTTACGATAATCTGCGACTCTACTAGACACAATCACTCTTTTAAACCATTACAAAAAAAAAAAAACTATCAAACAAATATTTAAAAAGTCTTAATAAGACCAATAGTTGACTGGTAGAGAACACCGTCCGGTGTTAAGTCCGCCAAATGTACATACAATTTTACTGTGCATTAAAGTTTAAATAAATAAAAAATAGTGGCATCTATTTTTAGAAATTTGATCTGTATGTTTGTTCCGGCGTCATGCAAAAACTACCACACCAAATGGAATACGGCTTTCACAGCAGCGTTTTTGAAGGTCTAACTTAATATGGGTGTGTTTTATCGTGATACCTGACCGAGAAATAATTAAAATAATTGTTTTTTCTACTTCTAAAATTCACGCGTACACAATAGCGTGCAAAAAGCTAGTACATAATAAACTCTACCAGACGTTTGTCTTACAGAAACTGTTAATTACATTTGTCTAATTGTGGAGGAAATACCTGATAAATAAACAGTCCAATAGGATTACGAGTACACAACATTTTTGGTTCTCGTAATACGATCTAATGAATGTCATTTGTATGCAGAGGTTTACGACACTTTTATCCATACGTAAGTAAACTACATCACGGAATTAAACTAATTCGTCACTGTAGACAAAATTCTACCACCGTAATTTCAAATTATCTACCGTATGGTCGCGAAATAGAATGCCACCACTTAGCCATATGACCATCCTTTCCTTTGCCGTGGGTGTCAAAGGAAATATTATATGACATAAGAAAATATGTAAATGCTGTCATATAAAATCTAGATTTAACTGATGCATATTTTATATCAATTTGCGTCGATTACATCGTGATCGAACGATTTTCTGACCGATTCCGTCTACGTCAAAAACGGAAACCCAATTAGTAAAGTTATGAATCTATTCCTCCTTCAATTGGTCCCAAGTTCCTACACCGAACAACTGAACAATGGTTTACCGCCGATAGCAAAATGAATAAGTAATGGATGGATTGTTTGATGATTGATTTATTGATATATAATAATTAGTGAATTAGTTTAGATTTGGGAAATTTCTATATGTACATTTATGGTATTTTTTTTATAATCACTATAAGTAAAAAAAAGCTAAAACCATTTTTACATACGAGACATACCAACACTTCGTTATACGTAAAAAGTAAAAAGAAAACTTAAAATAATTTCTCTATACTAATTACTACTCTATCACATTAACTTATTTCTTTAACCATATCAACAAAATAATTAAAATTAGTAATTTTAATTACTTTTTTTACTGGCAATTTATTTGTCAGTAAGAAATATGAAGTGATTTAAAAATTTTAACAAAGTGCCGATTGGTAGCGAATTGAAATGAAGAAGCCATTAAAAAATAAAATCCAATTTCTCCACATCGATTCATGTCAAGTTGATCCCTTCATTTCTTCGAAGAGACTTAATGGGTTTGCATTGATTTCGCGAATCTATCACTTTACTTTGAAATCTCCAGTCAAATTGAAAATCGTAAAAGCAAATATGAAACGAATATACAAGGAGTGCAGTACAAATTATACGATAGAATTATAAAAAAAAAAAACACTTCAGAAATATTTAAATGACTTTTGTATGGGCAGATGTGATGCTAAAATATATTATAAATATATATAGTTCTTGAAAAAAAAAAAAACATTATATTAATATATACTTTTGATAAATTCAATACAAACTTTTAATATAACCTTATACTAAGCAGTAAACGACAATCACAGAAATGAAGACGATACAGTTAATAATGTGAAATTAACAAGACGTTCGTCGAGTATATTTTACTTGAGAGGACATTTTATGGAAATAAAAGAAAAAGGTTAATTGTCAATAAAAATGAAAAACGGAACATCGTTGAAATAACAAAGTAAAAAAATCAGAGAAGGTATACGTAAGGAAAGCCAAGAGAGCAAAGAGATACAAATATTAGAAAAATACATCATTGCATCAGGTGTAACAAAAAATCTCCATGAAACCACTTCTTGGATACCTAATTTGGAAAGCAACCAAAATAGTATTACAAACCGAATAAATATAATAGAAACAGCATCTGAATTTTACCAAAACCTCTATTCCAATGCAGATTTCACTGAAAATAAAAATGATGTAAACTTTAAAACAAATCACATGACCTCCAAACTGAGAACTAAATACATTGCAAAGTGAAATCAAAAAAGCCAAAGTCGAACAAAGAACTACGCTCAGAGGACCTACCATGAAATGTTTTCCGAAATTTCGGAGCCAAACGAGACACAAATTAGATTTTTTTTATACAACTTAGAATGGCAAACTAGCTGACGGCCCACCTGATGGAAAGTGGTAACCGTTGCCTATAGACATGAGCAATACCATGGACATAACAGTACACACACATACTGTTTCGCCCATGATACCCCCCATGCGTTGCCATTCCTGAAGACTCAGGTGTTATTCCTCCGTACCCTGTAAATTCACGCCATATCCCACCCATCAAACCGAAACACAGCCATGCAAACACAACTGCTTCATGGTAGAAACACGAATGGGTCAGAGGTACCCAAGCAATCGACTTTTGTACAAAGTCTCCCTCTAAAATTAAAAAAGATATTAAAATCTGTGTTGATTTGTATTCTATATATACAAATTGTTAGTTTAGCACAAAGTATGGTTAAATACTTTCATTAGCGAGATTCAAGGGTACAAATTGAGCTCGTTTAGTTATTATAATAGACGAATAAAAGGTTATCGTGAACTTGCTCGATATGGCGACAACGACGCTATTTAGGTCGGCTCGGCCGTCAATGGCTAATCGTGACTATTCGTAACGCTCAAGCTGAGGGCCCATGTTGTAGTGTAGGTACACTCTTACCTAATGCTTTGATTCTATGAAATAGCTCTTTTTGATAAGCTTTCAATTGTAAATTAACAGTGGTATTTTTCAATAAAAATATATTCGTACAAATGAATATTGTTAACTAGAAAATAAAGATAATTATTACAGCATTCGTATGTTAACAAAGTGTTAAATAAACGGATAACTCATACCACTTAAAACAGGTTAACCAATACAGAAACAAAATACTGAAGTAATCATCTAGATAGATATCTACTTAGAAAAGTTTGTTTCTTAAATAGATCCGACCGATAATGAAATTCGGAAGGGATTCAATGAGAATGTACTTATATATACACTACCTCAGGAGATTTATTACAAAGTTGCTAAATAAAATGTTTAATTCATAATAAACGTATAAAATATGGATAAAGTTGATATAACTTAGTTATAAGGAATGTAAATCAAATAGATGTAGGTATGTAGCCCGGGTTTTCATGAATTCCAAATAATCTCGTATCAAAATCTCGTCTCGACAAAGCCATAGCCATAGCTCATTACCCATATAACAGTTATAAATATAACAGGTATATTGTGGAGTTTATCGCGAAACGCGAACAGTAAAATGCGGTTAAATAAAATATAACATGAAAATGAAAAATTTCATGAAACATGAAAAGCCACAAGCGTTCCGTTATCAATTATGTCATTCGCTGTCTAGTAACCTAGTATAATAGTATATAACAATAAACTTTGTTTCACCAATATTACCGGTCATCTATCTATACTGGAATAAAATCCAACAAAATAATTACAATGTATGAACACGATATCAAAGTGATCTGACGATAGCGTTCAAATTGCGATATTATTGTATTACAAAGTATGGTTATACTTTGTAACAATCTATCGTTGGTTGACAGTCGACAATTGAATCCGCAGTAATTCAATACAGGTTGTACCATACGTAGGTAAAAAGGTAATAAATTCATATTTGGATAATTTGGATACGAGTATATAATATTACTATAGCATGCTATTCTTGCATGATATTGTTTCAATTCGAAGTGTTTATTAAATTATAAGGCATTAAGGCATAACGTTCATGAACCGAGTTTATAGAAGTTGTCATTAATTTCACTTTTGTTCATGGAAGTAAAAATGAATTTTCTTGTCTAAGGCTCGTACTTCCACGTCTGTGCGTTATATCATGCAATTCAGTGTCAATCGATTAACTTAAAAATGAACACCAAGAATTATCTATCGTTTGAGCAGACCTTTTATTTCGAAGATTTCTTGAATAGTTTGAGAGAAGCATTTCGCTTTTAGGTATATGTAGATTTTATGCCATTCCCACGAACAGAGACGAGACGTCGCGTCGCCTTCGTGTCTGGGTAAATGCCACCGATTTTGCCTTTCATTTAATGCTCGCCCACACAAACTTGTGGGAGTACGAGTAACTTCAATCAGCCCACGCTTAGTGCATCCATAAAAGCTCTGTGCCAAACACTACATAGGTATGACACATTTATAGACAAGATTCAGTAAACCATCTAAGTCTTTTTATTAGGTTAGAAATATCTAAAATTAGATGAAGAAATATTTAAAAGGATTTATATAAGTAATGTACAGAACATAAAAATATTACAAGTCGTTGGCATCCTTTTAAGGGATTGTTCTACCAATATAACTGAATAATTTTCACAGGACTGGAAGATACTTAGATAGTATATTTTAAAACAGTTCGCAATCCATAACAGGTGTACTGTGCGCCATACGAATCGTGGGAATGAATAAGACTGGTGAAACCCTATTTAATTGTCACCACATAAAAGGTACTAAGGTTATTGATTTAATAATTACATACAATGTAAGCGTGCATCAAATGCAGTCAATACTATTTTAAAAAAACTTTAATTATTTTTTTACAACAAGAAGTGGCTCACATGATGGAGAATGATAACCGTCATCTATAGACATGAACAGGCACATGTATACACTATGATGCTCAAACGCCCATGACACTTCAGTATTTGAACCTCGTTGCCACAAAAAACACTATGCAAGCATAGCAACTTGGCAGCAGGAAGTTGAAGTAGAACGGAGTTACCCATGCAAACGATTTCTATATATATTTTACCGAGTACAGGGGAATAACACCTGAGTCCTCAGGAATGCCAATGTATGGGGGTATCATGGACGAAACAGTATACTCTGTTATATCCATGGTACTGCTCATGTCTATAGGCGACGGTTACCACTTTCCATCAGTTGGGCCGTCAGCTTGTTTGCCATTCTAAGTTGCATAAAAATGTCTTCAAATGGAGACCACCAGATGATATATTACAGACAACATTGCCTACCGATATCTATAGTTCAACTTACTTTCATCTGATTGGGGCGCTGATAAGATGGCGCTGTGCTTCTTCTTGACCTCTTCGACGTTGGCTTGAATCTTGTCTATCATTTCTCGTATCTCTTCCACCTGTGGAAAAAACATCATTGTTATTTATAAATCTAGTACTCGTAAATGACCTTACACTGCCTTCGGATGGTTGAAGGTTCCTACACAGTAGAAATCTCTGTCTTATTATAAAGAAATATCTGTATTTAAAAGTATGGATGACCTGGATCTTTTCCTAATATGTATATGTATTTAAAAATGTATTCAATTATGCGTATAACTATACAGATATAACTCATAGTAGCTCATAGCTTAGGAAATAGCGCTGCAAACTATTCATAGAACTTAATTTTCACTAATATATTCACTATTAGCTGTATCTATCTTCCGCAGCTTCACCCACGTGAATCAGTATATAAAGTATGCTATGTGGTAAGTTAGAGAATATAACCTACTCGTACATTAAATTTTATCCAATTTTTTTTAATTATATATACATTATAATAGTAATAGAATAGGGCATTATCATTTAGTTTAGAGTATTACACTGTAAATATAACATTCCGATTATACATACTTGCATTTATTCATCCATATTTAAACGTATACAGGTATACAAAATGAGATCATCAAAAGCGATCGGCAAGCGGTTTAAAATTATGACGTCATTTTAAGACTAGATATTAAATTTGTATTCGTTCTTTCTTGTTATCGTGGAAAAAACATGTCTCATTTATTAACTTAAGCTAAACTTAAATACATAGCTAATAAATGAAGAGGTTCTACTCAGGGTTAAGGTAAAGAGGTAAATTATAAAAAACTATTAAGCTCGAAAGTAGAAAATGTTGGAATACTTGATACGACATGAGGAACTTATGAACATTATATTAGAAGATAGGATAGAAGGAAGAAGACAATCAAGGAAAAAATTGGCGTCGTGTCGTATTAAGAAGTGAAAAGACTCGCTGATAATCGTCGTGAGTGGCAAGAGCTCCAACGACAAGAGCGCCGCTCTTAAATAGAAATGACTGAATGAGCTAACAAATGTAATAATTTAATAATATCATGTTCACTCATTCCCCCAAATAAGTTTGCGAATTTTTTTTTTTTATTTCATACTCTATGTTAATTTCAGCTATTTTACTAGCCACTACGAATAATAAAGTAGACAAGATGAATTTTGGTTTTTAAGTTATTTTTGTTCCAAAAGATTGAACGGTTTCAACAATTTAACTATTATTAAATAAGCACAAAAGTTTATTTAAACGAATATCTGAAACTACCTATCAGTCAGATTTGAAAAATTCTTTTTGCATTTGATAGGTCATTTCTGGAAGATGTTTATAGGCTTCAAAATATAACGATAAAACCACGGGCGAAGTCGCAGGATAGAACTATTTATCTATCTAGTTAGCTATCTAGAAGAATAGACATATTATAAATTAAGTACAAGTTGTTATAAACACAAAATGTATTTTAAAGTTTGCTCCATAAAGATAGCTTTTTTATAATAACATAAAACTCAATGTTGATTTAGTGAGCATTGCTAGATAACTTATCTATATAAATGAACATATAAAAATCCTGTGTCACTATATTCGTTCAAGCTGATCTCTGAAGCTTTATCAAACTAAAATTTTGAACTTGAGAGATACGATAATTTTTATGTTAATAAGAATCCTTGAGAGAAATACATCGTATGCAGGTCCAGTTAGTTATATATTTATATAACTAATATATATATATATATATATATATATATATATATATATATATATATATATATATATATATATATATATATATGAAAAGAGAGGTTTTATAGTGATTCAGTTCGCAGTTTATCACTCCATCGTTCTAGGAGCGTCTCTGAGACTAGACGAAACGTCAATGGTTGTGCTGGCAGTCTGCCAAAGTATCTAGCCTCACATTTTTTAAAGAAAAGCTTGGACAAAAAGCCAAATAAATATAAATAAGATACCTCAAAAAACATCTAATGGTTTTCAACCCTTGAAAATCCCTTTTGTTTCTTCTACTCTATTATTGTATAAATATACATGAAGAATATTTTTTCCCTAATTACTGTTTGCAAAGCTTTTTTTAAACTTGCATTAACTAATTATATCGTTTTATAATAAACAAAACTGTCATAAAAATGTACAGATTAGTAGTCAGTTAATGTATTGGAATTCAGCTCTTTAAAATTACCCCGTAACAGTATTTAGCGTGAAGAAAAATATAATATTTATAAATATTATATTTAAAAAAATGTTAATAAATTTTTTCTTAAGATATAATGGATGGAATAAAAGATACAAACACTGAAACATAGCAACAGTTTACGTGAAATTGAACTATATGGAAATTACATAAAAATTGTATAAAATATATGTTTGAGTGTGTGTAAAAGGATATTTATACAAAATTTCATGTTTCTAACTCCAACTGTATTTAATAAAAGTCAATAATCCAAGCCTTTTTAAATATTCTTATAGATTTCAGAAAAAAAAAAATAGTAAAATACTATAAATATAGAACTAAACCACGGCCCATTAATTGTTATAGTAACACTACTGAATGGAAAATAATCATAATTACCGCAAATTTAAGGAAATTTTCTATGGGGAATGAGTTGTTCTATTTGTTTATATTGTACTACGGATTCTACAATTTAACCACTATTTAATATGAAATTTGACACAGATCTATACACTACTATATACTAGATGTATGTAGTATGCAGCTATAAAGAGCAAAAAGTATAGTAATTACTCTTCAATATCAACACTATAAACACTGCTAAAATTAAAGTCAATTGATAAAAAAGGTTTATATATTAAACATAAATAAGTTTACTTCGTAAAACTCAATGATTGAACTTAAAAAAACCGATTAATAGTGTTTTAACCTTTCAACTAATCACATATTTCGTAATTTATGAACGAATTAATTACAGAGGATTCAATGAGAGTAGTTAATCAGTAATGGTCCACCGAGGTTTGAATAATTAACGTTAATCAAGCGTAAGTGCCTGACAGAGAGCACTGTCCGTAGAGAATTTCCAAATACAATACTATTTTACCTGTTACAAAATCAAACCTTTGCACTCAGCTCATATAGATGGAACTCATTGTATTTTCAATATCTCATTTGAATTCACCGTTTATTCCCAAAGGTTACAAATATGAAAATATGAGAAAAATAAAATAAAAATAAGTAAATTAGTAACGAAACAAGTGCGAAACTTTATAGAATAGCATAAGTAATGTGAAATGAGGATATTTCGAGTGTAATGTTCTTTAAAAATTATACGTGTGTATATGATATTTATATGATGATGAAGTCAACAAATGCCTCTATTAGGGATTATAGTCGTAAGCTTGTTTAATTTTCTTTATTTATATATTTTGTTTATTTCATTTCTACTTGTTCGACAATGAATACCGTCACAATAAGGTTGTTTGAAAAGATTACTTTCAGCAATAAGGCCATCTTATTGTTATCTAATGTAATTTTTTGTGTTCCTTTATTCTTTAAATTGTGTGCATAATGCAAATAAAGTACATTTATTCATTCAGTCAAACACAACTTTCTCTCCCTTTCAGCAGGAAAGAAACAAACAATAATTGAAGTAAAAATTTTAGATTTTATACTACTATATATACTTGCTTATAGTTTGCTCCTATGTAAAAATAAACAGCAATTTGCTAGACATAGGAGAAATACGCGAATTCGTGTGCTTAACTAACAACTAAAAGATTATGTACTTTTAGGTTTGTATAATTATTACTCTATAATAATATAATACCTTTTGTAAAGAGTTTTGCTTTAAAAGAAGTAGTTTGAATGGTTAAAAATATAGGATCAACACATGGAAATAGAACTTTTTGATTGAAAAAATAATTATTAAAATTAGTTCACAATTGGCAACATAATTGCGTAAGATACCTAGCTAGAAAAAAAATATCAAATTCCTTTTAGAAATCTTAACAAAATTACATCTTAGTCTTCAGTAATAGCAACTCATGATGATATCATGAGCGAAACAGTATATTCTGTCATGCTCATGGTACTGTTCATGTCTATAGGCAACGGTTACCACTTTCCATCAGGTAAGCCGTCAGCTTGTTTGTCATTCTAAATAGTAGGAAGTAGTAAAATTTTTTCACCTATTTAAATATTGCAAAAAAAGATTCAAAATTGGCAATGACATCTCAATGTTTTGGGATATTTAACACATATTATTTAGGAGTTTGATTCGCAAAAAAACTAACTGATACTGGACGACAAGAATACTAATCAAAATCAGTTCATAATTGACAAAGGCATGAAGCAAATAAACTGGAGTTTACTCCGCAAATAACGACTTCAGTCGTTGTAGGTCGTATTGTGTGATGTCGCAATTATTTTTGTAACTTAAAGTAGCATATAAGGTGATGAAATGTAGGATCCGTCACCAACAAATATGAACAGTACCATGAATATCACAGAACAGATAATTATCTGTTCTGTAATGTACCTAAAAATTAAATTAAAATAACTTACAATATAAAACTGCCAGCGATTGGTCAATCTTTTTTTACCTAGGTAGAGAGAAAAGCCAGTGAATAACGTCCGGTTACCGTGTTCAGTGTCCTAATATTTTCATGAAAAAAGCTTTCACAAACACAAATGTCCACAAAAGATTTTAATTTGGTAATGATATTATCTATGAAACTAGCTGTGTCTGCAACTCAGTACACTTAATTGTCAAAATTAATTTAATTAACTAAACAATTTAGCGGATTTGCAAAGCCTTTTACGCAAATATCTTACTATTCTTATCTTTACTAATCTTTACTAATATTATAAATGTGAAAGTGAGTTTATTTGTTTGTTACCACTTAGTGGTTTAAAGCCCCAACCAATCATTAGGGGAGGGGGGGAGATTGAGAAGGGATTCTTAGTAATGCGGACCACAAGTCCCATTACTAATCTGTCAGGTCGACCTTCATGAGGTGCCCCCTGCAAACCTTCGTGCTAAATTTGAAGTATATTCATTACGATGGGTACTGACCTGGCATGTAATTTTCATGGCATGA